TCTAGGTTTAGAGCGGCTGATAGTAGCGTACCGATTTTTATTTATAATATCTCTAAGGAGGCGTCAGCGTGTGACATAAAGAGCTACATAAAATCGAGTACCAACCTAGATTTGCAATTGGAAAAAATAAATATGAAAATAGCAAAGGAATACGATGCTTATAAAGTCTACGTACCTAAAAGTAAGCTTGAGGTGCTTTTAAATGACAACTTCTGGCCAGACGGCATTTTATATCGTCGTTTTGTGGAATTTCGAGCTCCTTTGAGACGAAGTTATCGTGAGAATGGAGATCGAAAATCATCAAATGGACCATAAAAATATTAAAATGATTAGTTACAACTGCAAGAACGTGGTTCGCTCTGTCGATGATATAAGGAGACTATGTAGCTTGGCGGACATAGTGGCGCTTCAAGAGACTTGGCTTCTTCGACACGACATACAGTACCTGGGCAGCATTGACGGCGATTTTTCTTATACCGGTAACTCTGCCGTCGATCTAACTGATGGTGTCCTAAGAGGTAGGCCGTACGGAGGTGTTGCTTTGCTGTGGCGGAAAGCCGCGTTTCCTTCAGTAACAGTGATTAATTGTAATAGTGTGCGTCTCAACGCAATTAAAATAAAGCTTCATGACCAATCGATAATAGTGCTATCAGTGTATATGCCGTGTGATAACGAGGCTAATTTAACAGAGTTCACTCGGTGCCTTAGTGAAATACACGCAATAATCGAGAGCAACTGTGTAGAATCGGTCTACATTCTTGGGGACTTTAACGCGCATCCTGGTGAGTTGTTTGGCAACGAGTTACTAACTTTCTGCGAGGAACATGTGTAATGATTCTAGTCATAAGTTATTGTTAAATAAAATGTATTGTGATATTGTGGGGGTGCTAAGAGCTGCGGCTGAGTGTACCTACAGGGAACCCGGGCGGAATAACCATAGACGTGTGCCAGGGTGGAATCGACACGTCAGTGCCGCTCACGGTTGGGCTCGACTTTGTTTCCAAGCTTGGGTGTTGTATGGGAAACCTAAGTGTGGGGAGGTCTACAATAACATGCGCGACTCTAGAAAACATTTTAAGGCCAAATTAAAATTTTGTCAAAATAATGTAACACAAATAAAAATGGATATTCTGGCAGAACATCATAAAAAGAAAAATTTTGGACGGTTTTGGAAAACAACAAATAACTTGAATCCAAGGTCGAGTCTGCCTGTGAGTGTGGGTGGCGTGCACGAGCCACGGGACATAGCTGCCGCGTTCCAGTCCCATTTCAGAGTGGAGTCGCCGCTCGGGCGGGTGCCGCAGGTGGTCGATGCTGGGGGTAACCCCAAGGACATTAGTGTACGCTTTTTGGCTGAAGATATAGCTACTGTTATAAGAGGGATGGTTAGAGGCAAGTCGCCGGGTCACGATGACCTCAGCATCGAGCACTTAAAGTACGCTGGCCAACACCTACCAAGGGTCCTCTCGATCTTCTTCAACTTATGTGTATGTCATGGTTATTTGCCCGACGATCTAATGTACAAGGTGGTAGTACCAATAATAAAAAACAAGACGGGTGATGCTGCAGATTTGTCTAATTACAGGCCGATTTCACTAGCTACCACTATAGCTAAGGTGCTGGATAGTTTGCTTGACAAACAGTTGGATAAGCACCTCCACCTGCACGACGCTCAGTTCGGTTTCAGGCCGGGTCTGTCTACTGAGAGTGCCATCCTCTGTCTCAAGCAGACTGTTCAGTACTACACTGCTAGGAAAACACCAGTTTATGCTTGTTTTCTGGACATGTCCAGAGCCTTCGACCTGGTTTCTTATGACAAACTGTGGCAGAAACTGGAAACTGAAACTAAACTACCCCATGAGATTGTGACAGTTTTTAAGTATTGGTACAATCACCAGCAGAATAGTGTGAGGTGGGCAGGAGAGTCCTCAGATGCGTATGGGTTGGAGTGTGGGGTGAGGCAGGGGGGGCTGACTTCGCCCCGTCTCTTCAATCTATACGTGAACCAACTTATCGTTGGGCTCAGCGGCGCCAATGTGGGATGCTCTATAGACGGAGTATGCATAAATAACATCAGTTATGCTGACGACATGGTGCAGCTGAGTCCGTCGGTGGGTGGTCTGAGGAAGCTACTGCGCATTTGTGAGTCGTATGTGGAGGCCCATGGGCTCGGATACAACTCCAAAAAGAGTGAGTGTATGGTGTTCAAGGCTGGTACCAAATGCTACTCTCCCATGCCCATTACTCTTGGTGGAGCTGCTTTGAACATGGTACATAAATTCAAGTATCTGGGCCACTGGGTCACCGACGATTTGTGTGATTGTGAGGACATCGATAGGGAGCGTAGGGCGCTGTCCGTCCGCTGCAACATGTTGGCACGTAGGTTTGCACGCTGTACAAAACAAGTAAAGCTGACGCTCTTTATCAGATTTTTATCATATTGTCAGAGCTTTTACACGTGCAGCCTATGGACCAACTTTACGCGGCGGGCGTTCAATGCACTGCGCGTACAGTACAACGATGCGCTCAGAATTCTGTTGAAGATGCCGAGGTATTGTAGCGCCTCCACCATGTTTGCAGAAGCACGCGTGGATGACTTTTATGCTGTAATACGCAAACGGAGCGCTTCATTACTTTCTCGCCTTCGGACCAGCACCAACGGAATTCTGGGCGCGCTGTCCAAGCGTTGGGACTCACCCATAATGTGTAGGTGGTTGCAGCTGCATGCCAGTGTAGCGCCCGTTATTTTTTAATATTTATAATATTTTTAATTATGAAATTTTAATTTTTAAGTTTTTGTATTGCGATTTTACATTTTTGATTTTAAACTTTTGACTTTAAATTTTTGATTTTAAATTTATTATTTTAATTTTTGATTTTAAATTTTTAATTTTTGCTTATTAATTATTGATATTTAATTTGTGTTCTTTAATTTAAAATTTTATTATGTATTTCAGTAAGTTTAATTTAATTGTTTGTTAACTACACATACTAACATTAGTCTATAAGTGAAACTGTAACTAACACCGTGGGTCTATGTTGCCTGAATAAAGGAATTTAATTATTATTATTATTATTATTAATTTATTATTAATTATTAATAGAAATTAGAATAAACTAAAACATATTAATTAGTACTGCAGTCTTATGTCTGTTTGGGATTTTTCATTAGAGGAAATACTGGATCCCAAACTGGTGGTACGGAGAAACCATCGTCCCTGTTGAAATTAGGATGTTTTTTAATTTCAATGGCCTCTCGCAGCATCCTGGGCAGATAACGGACTTCTTTTGCAAGGACCTGGGGTTTGTCAAACTTCATTGAATGTGTAGGTTTATCCATGACATGCTCGCAGACTGCAGACTTATTTACGCGACGGTGTTTGACATCAGCTATATGTTCTTTGACGCGGGTACAAATCCTTCGCTTTGTTTGTCCAATATAAGAGAGACCGCACTCACAGTCAAGCTTGTAAACTCCTGCATCCTATGTGTAACAATCGCGAAAACCTAAGAACTCGATATATAGAGAGCGTATTAGGAATAACACCCCAGTAAGCAATTTTTTAGTGAAAATAAGAGTATTGCTTCCGCTCCTATCCCTTTAAATCATCTTATTGCATTGCTTTGATGCCCTCCACTCCAGACGCCATTCTTTATAGTGAGAAGAAATGCATTAAAAGAGCACAGCATAAAATATAACTGAGCAAAGGTTTATTTGAAAAAACAAGTATACGTGACTTAGATTCAAAATTGTTTCATTTCGCAATAATATAGTAATCACACAAAAAAAAAGTATGTGCGCATTCAGGTTTGTGCGTTCGTGTATCATTATCATAGAATCGCTGCGTACATTACAAGTACTTCGATAAATTTCGTTTGAAGATACCCAATGTCAACATTTATACAAACTTCTAGAAAAATAAGTACTGTTAAAAGCAAAATTGATTGAGATTGAAACTAATATTTTTCTTCACAGTGGCTGGAGTAGAAATAAGAGGGTAACGGCAGCGGCAATGCCTAGTCATTGACAAATGGGCGCATTGTAACCTCCCCTAGGACTATAGATCTGATTCTCTGTCTGAGAACTATGGACTTTATAGATGGATGAACACAAACAACTGTAGAGAATGAAGAGGGTTTATTTAGGAGCTTACTGTTTAGGTGGAAGAATGGCAAGCTCCTTAGACACAGGTACAGTATCGTGTTATTTGTTTTACGCCAGATCCACCCATTAGAATGTGGTTGGTTACTTTTGGTCACCATTGCAGAGAATTTTGACATTTTTCAGAGCATATTCTGTAGTATGGAAATTAGCGGTCCTCTTCAGTTATTGGTCCCTGACATTATAAATTCATTATATTTATATTACAATAATAACATTTTGTGATTATATTTGTTACTATATGTAGGTATAAGTATTAGTTATTATTAGTTCTTACATACACAGACATATATCTATTATATTTGTATATGTAATTTATTATTTTATTAATTTAATTAACTATTTTATAGACATGTTTGAGTAAGCGTGCTTGCATATATTGTTCCGTGAACTCACTTAGGGTTTAACTGAAAAATGTTGTGGAGATTTTTCCAGCAAATACTGATTTAGTGACCCTTTTGCATCGAAGACATTTTTGGTTATGTCCTCGATACGCGTTTGTGACCATGCCTGTTACCACAAATCTAGTGCCTTTATTTATGTGTATGAAAATAATCTGTGTTTTAATTTAGTTTTTGTTTGTTTTGTAATTATTTTTTGTGTCCTAAGTGTGAATGTTTTTGATTATGTTTTAAATATATTTTTTCTTTTTTTTTTCTTTTGTTTGTTTTTTCTTGTGCGGTGTCATTTGTGGTGATCAAATAAATGTATATTCTTTATTCTTTTTTCTTATCCTAATGTTTTTGTTTTTATAATTTTCTTTTAATTTAGTACATATTAAATTCATAACTAACTGTAAACTAATGATATAAATTATCGTGTATGTGTATGTGTATGTGTGGGTGTGTGATGGTGCGTGAGTGTCTGCCTCCTTTTCTTTCCTCAAATAATGTGCTAAGCAGGTAAAAATAACAAAGAAAGAAACCGCTCGCATCGTTAGTGCATAATGTACTATTTACTCGTAAGTACTTACAAAAGTAGTTCATAATAATATTTCTTAGTATGTATATGCACATATAAGTTACAACTTCGATCTTCAAATCAAAGCAGGTGTGTTGAGTTGTTTGTTAAATTCCCTAGTCTTGTGTAGAGGTGGTAAAGAAGAAGATAGTGGCGCTGAAATATCCGGATTTACGACGAAATCACTCTTGCCGAATACTGGACAGTCTTTTAGCTTCGTCCTGAAAAAGAATCGAATGGAGGTCGATAACAGTTCAAGTGATAGATGATCAGGTGGGGTTAACTCATAATCTAAATAGTTTAGCATTGTGGGTCGAAACACAAAACTGAGAATCGGTGCGATGCGAATTTGCAACACATTGATGGACATGGATCGTGAAAAGAGTGTTGCACTACTGTTATTGATAAGAAAGTAAAGAAAAAAACACAAAACAGATTCACATTGTAGGAATGTGCGATGCCGAGTCATCCGCAAATTCTTGCGATGCGTCATGCGTGCTCGTAGATTTCTATATATTCTGTAGATTTCTATATATATATTCTAGATATTGTGTTTCGACCCTATAGTTTCTCAGTCGATAAAACAGACAAACAAATTAGTTTAAACGATTCTAAAGAGATGTCGGGTGCTCCGAATCTAAATGGCGGAGAAAACAAATTTGACAGTTGTAAAATCTTGAAAACATGAGGTATACTTTACCCTTATAAGAAATACAATGACTGTTCCTCATACTCCATCTTTTCGGGGAAGAGAAACATTACAACAATTTGCACGGCAAATACATAGTAAGTATAAAATGATTAGTAAAACATGTAAAGCTGATAAACAAAGGTAAGAATCTGTTCATCAAAATAAAGTATCTTATTCCACCTGACCTTATTAAATGAATGAATACTATTACAATATTCGTATATGTACAATTCAAAATGAATAATTCCATGTTCAAGTATGACCCACACAAGAACAGCGGTTGGCGACACTAGAATTTGAACGGTGTGGATTTTAGAGCTGATCGAACTGCCATTAAAAATGCGCCTCGACCCTATGAATAGTGATACATTTGATTATACTTAAATACATTCAACAAAAATGAAACTTACCAAAGTTCCTTAGAGATGACAGCTCTTGCGAACGGAATAGGTACAGAAGAGAAAGGTCCAGCGAAGGTCCAAGTATAAGCGCCCTGAACGTGGTGTATCAACCAATCGGTAGGCGAACACGGTGGCAATTTGACCTTGTAGTCCTTCATAACACGGTCGAATGAATCGCATGTCGGGCCCCATAGGATTACCTCTTCAGCTTTTTCATCTTGTTGGCTGTTATCGTTTTGTTTTTGCTGCTAATACATAATAATAATATTAAACAAAACTAGAACAGAACTCGAGTTCGAAAATTCAACTCCACGTGACTTCTACTCTACAAAGTTTCGAATAAATCAAGCAGGATTCAATTTTACTGAACAACCACTATTGCCCGCCAAAAAAAAAAAAAAAAAAATCCAATGCGGTGATTGAAAAAAAGAAAATATTCATTGTTAATCATACTACAGTCATGTGTATACACATGTGTACAATATATGTGTACACATAATTATAGTATACCACACCACAAACCTAAATTAAAAAACTTTATTATGCTTACACAGACCAGACCGCAAAATAAAAGGTACGTACGAGTATTATTGGTAATTTGAATTCTTATTTTTGTCATTAAGATAATCATTTATAGAATAATAACTCTCGCGTTTGACAAATACGTTTGTATAGCTGCTAAAACTCACCGTGTGTAACCGCCCTTATGGTATTAAGTCCGCCATTTCTATTTTGTTGTATTGTGCAAAAATAATAAATAATTATTTTTTTTTTAAATATTTTAAGTTATTTGTGAGTGAAATATGAGCGACTCGAAAGCTATGCATAATGAGACAGAGTTATTCAGATTCGCTGCCATAAAAGCGACAGTGGACTTATTTTGCCAAAGTATTACATACGAGTAAAATTAACGGGAAAAATAAAGCAAAACATTTTTTCTTACATACATGAAAGCCATATATCTTATAAGTCATATATCTTGACTCAGTTATACAGCATGTAACAAAAATATCAGACACATTTGAGCTGGTAATCATATTTACCGCTTTCGCAACAAAAAAATAATTTGAACCGCAACAATGTTTTGCTTTAAAAGAGAATAGAATGATTTTTCTAAAGTTGTCGTCTGCACGGTAATTTCATGTATATAAAAAAATAATAATTAAAAATGTTTTAAGAAAAAGCGTCCAAATATAAAATAATAATTGTGCATAATTTATAGTAACATTGCATAAAACTTTTCCTAGGTTGGAATTAAATATAATCAGAGAATATAACCGCTTGCTTCAGGCAAATCAAATAACGGTTTGGAATATAAATGACGGGAGAACGTACCTTTGGTGAATATAGTTCTACTGTTTGCCACGGCTCAACATAGTGCAAGGTGCCGTGAAAGCCATCATTAATGTAAATCATATTTAAATTTTCACCAGGCGATGTACTCTAGAACAATTAAATCGAATTGTGTTTTTAATTAACAATATTCGCATTTTTAAGTTTTCTCAATGGTTATAAAACTGTTTTTCGGATTTGAAATCGCGTATCTTTGTGTTTCAAACAAAGCAACGGATTTTTCAAGATACTGATAAAGAAATTTAAAAAAAAGGAATTTAAGTTTAAATCACAAAGATTTAAGGGGCACTGCCACTGCCCCTGACACATAAGTTGACAAGTCCCATGTGCCTGTAATTTCTCCAGCACCTTTACTCTTCAAAACCGGAACGCAGTAATGTTCACATTACTGCTTCGCAGCAGAAGTAGGCAAGATGGCAGTAATTCCCAGGATGAATTCTTTCACAAGGAGATTTACTGCTACTATTAGACTATAGTAGCCGTGACCAGACTTATAAAGACCCCGAAACATCAGTTTGTATGAAAAATCATTTCAAGTGCTATTCAATACTACATCTACAATAGTACCTACAACATCACTCATCTTACAATCAAACTTTTTATCAATACTGTTTCCCTTGTTGCTCTCAGAAATGTACTTCTCCTGCTTCATTTGTACTAGTCCCTTCAAATATTCTATTCCAAGATCTTAAAAGAAATTTGTAATGATATACTCAGTCTAATAGATACCTTTCCCTATATCGCCAAACATACAGGTATTTTAAATTTACTTACGCGTCTGATGTTATTAATGCTGTTGTATTGCGTGACTGCACTATCGCAAACGTAGCGACCTGGTTCTGCGATCACCTGTATGTCCGAATCAGGAAACAGTTCATCTAGAGTCTTGTTTACCAACTTGGCTATCTGAAAATGTATATTGTTTAAACCATGTTTGGAAGCTTTAGAAAGAAAGACTTCCACTTACATACAGAGGGTTTTTTTTAATGGAAAAGTATTGAGAAATCCGAAACCTTAGAAGATACAAGGAAACTGCCTTAGAAACTTTTTTTGTAAAAACAATATTGGTATAGTCAATTTAGTGGTTAAGCGTGAGTTGTCCATAAAAATACGCACACACACACACACGCACACACTCAACATAGCCCCGCACTAGGGAAACCCATAGACAATCACAAATTACACCCAAACTCACGAGAGAAATAAATGTAGGCCATACAAATATTTCTCCCGGCTCGGGAATCGAACCTGGGACCTCTGCGTGGCAGTCCGGCATGGTAACCGTTCGGCCACGGAGGCAGTTGAATGAATAAAATTGCTCATAATATTTTTTAGTGCTAATTGACTCAGTTTCATGAAGGGATCATTTCATTGTATGCATCGAAAAAAATCGGGACAGCAGAAAAATTCGTGGGGTCCGCTGATTCGTTCCATGGCTTAGTTGGTATAGCGTCTGCCGCGGTATGCTAGAAGATGTCGTCCGTTCGAATCCGATCGGATTGAAGGATTTTTTTCTGAGTGTTCGATCTTTGTATTAACAATTATAACAAATCGAGTTCTTAGGTTTTCGCGATTGTTACACATAGGAAATGAAACTATTTTTCCGGATTTATGTCGCGTATATTTGTTTTTTCAAAAAAAAACCGACATTTCGGGGCCTTTACAGGTCCCATGGTCACGGTTAACTGAGGTGGTACAGTCTTCAACCAGTTATGTCTAATATTGATGCAAATCACCCTATTTTTTCACTATAGTTACAATAGTTTTTAATTAAATACCTTATTTTTAATTTTACAAAGAAAGCATTCCTTTACTCTACACGCGGTTGGTTTGAAAAAACAAATATACGCGATTTAAATCCGGAAAAATAGTTTCGTTTAATAACAAATTTCATAAAATATTTATTCATACAAAATGAATAAAATTGACTATTTTTGTTAAAGCTAATAGTCTCAGTTTGTTATAAGGATGATTTAATTATTGTATTGGAAAAAAGAATTGGGATAGTACAAAAAAATATCAATTTTATTAATTTTTACCGACAATACATGCTTGACCAAAAAAATTACTACGCCAAAATAGTCATCACAAAAAAAGATTGAATTGTTCCTAAGACAGTTTCAAACTGTTCTGTGGTTTCGGATTTCCCCATACTGACCCATTAAAAAACAGTCTGTATAGGTACGATGTTAGAAAGTTAATACAAAAAAGTACACATGTATGTATAGAGCCATACTAATATTTCTCCCGGCCTGAGAATCGAACCCGGGACCTCTGCGTCAATCAAGGATGTTAACCGTTCGTTAGCCGGCAGTTAAAATGACGAACAACTAGCCAATAATGTATGAATACCTCATCTATTCTATCTATACAGTCGCTCTGGAAACCACCACCGATATCGACGATCTTCATATGCCTTCCAGCCTTGGCCTCATGCTCGAACAAACCCTTGGCTCGTTTAAGTCCCATTTCGTAGCTATCGCTTGACGTGCACACGCTTCCGACGTGGAATGCCACTCCAACTACCTGATGGCGTAAAAAATATTATTAATTAAATTCTTTGTAATCATAACAGTACGACACAATAGCCCGATCATTCGTTAATGTATATACTATATATACGTTATAGTATTTTGTCGTATTATGATAGTACAATCAACAGCACGCTCAGTACTTATACTTAAAACTAAATATCAACTATATGGCGCTTATAACAAAATAAACGGTTCATCAATTATTTTCAGTAACTTCCGAGTGTGTAATTGAGTTACATAATACAATACTGACAGATAAGCCAAGTGTAGCAGCTTCCTCCAGCAAATCAATTGCTTCAGTATCGTAACAACCAAATTTCTCTCCCAGCTTGTAAGTGCATTCACCATCAACTCTGATCCGAATAAGTAACCTGAAAATATCAATCAATATCCGTTGGTTTCATTTTTTGACGTTACTAAATTTAAACGTTTTATGAATCCTGGTAAATGGAAAAAGTGTCGGGTGAACCCGGTGGCGTATATGGCTTCCCATATACAGTACGTCCCCCAAGGAAACGAGTTCGGTACGCTTTAACAGAAATACCATACACAGTATGCCTCGAAGTGACGAGTTAGATACGCCTTTCCAGCTACCACATAAGTTTAAGCGATTAAAAAACCGTATTTGATAAGTCCATTAGGGGACGAATTAGGTACGGGATTTGGTTTTCGTAAGAAACACTCGTAAAAGAGCGTCTCTGATTCGTCACGTCGATTAATTTTAGAATCAAATACTCAAAAGTCATACATAATTCAAACGAAATTGTCTCTTATTGTTGTAGGTAAACAGTGCAAAACGCAAATAATAAACACGTAAGGTATCTCTCTCCGTCTCACCTACACTACCAATAAACACCTACAAAATAGAGAACTCTAAGCTCTAATCAGTTGCATGTTTGGTGATACTGGCATGTTTCAAAATAGGCCAGAAATAATAATATTCATAACAACTGATTTCGCGCGAGTGCAGTGTCACAGTTCATTTCGATCTTGCATGTATTTTTACGTAATTTGCGGCATAACTTTGATTAATATCGTTTGTGTTTGAGTTAAGATTATTTAAAATGGATGGAGAACGATTTACAGTTCTAGTTAGTAAACTTGTGACTGATTTTCAATTTTGAAGTATGAAGGAACGAATGACGAGAATTGCAAAGTGTCTCCACTTACCATCACTTACTTAATTTCTATAGTATATTTTGTAGTAGATTTAATGGACGTCATTTAATTTTTGTCTTCGAAAAATTCTTTCAGACTGTTATAGCACTTGTTTGTTTCCTAATAAATTTATCTTGTATTTAATGAAAACTGTTTAAATATATAAATATTGATAATGATTAATTTTGTAATTGTATTCCTTTTAACTTTAATAAATACATAAATTCTATATTATAGCAGATAATTTGTTTCAGTAATTACTCGAGACGTGACGAATCAGAGACGCTTTCTTACGAGCGTTTCTCACGAAAAGCCGTACCTAATTCATTCCCTAGTGGACGTACTAAATATGGGTTTTTAATGGCTTAAACTTATACGGTAGATAGAAAGGCGTATCTAATTCGTCGCTTTGAGGGGACATACTGGGTACGGTACTTCAGTTGTTTAGCCCCTTAGAAAAGCGTACCTACCTCGTCTCTCCTTGGGGGACGTACTGTATACGGAAAGCCATATGCGCAACCCGGTGAGCCAAATTTTTTTTGATAGAAATTATTAACTCCGAAATGTCAATAGATGGCGTGGTCATTAAGTTTTGTTGTGCATTATCCTTAACAAAATATGAACATTAAAGTATATTCAAAAAGCCTAGGAAATGTAACTATTTTTATTTCAGATCTATATCGCGTTTTATCTCGCGTTTTACGTTTGACTTACCGCCTATTTAATAGAGGCCGCGGGTTCGAATACTGGCCCGCATCTCTGAACTTTTTGGATTTTATGTGCGAAAATTAATTTGATATTGACCGTGAGCTTTGCGCCCAGTTACACGAGGTGAACGTTTTACCGCCCAGTTACTACGCCTTTGTGTACATTAATGCGAATCTGAATTCTATTTACTAGGCAACAACTTTTAAATTTCTCTGAATAATACAACCGCGCGGGCCGCCGCGCAGACTAAATTCAAGCCAGACCCGCCCACGTGCCCGGGACGCTCAATTAAGTTAAAACGTAAAAGCTAAGTCAATATGGTCAATACAGCGTACGGTGCAAGAAAACATCGTGATGAAACCTGCCCCTCGACGGATATTCACAACCCTCGGAAAACGAGTGAAATCCCCAACCCTCATAGGCCCAGCGCGGCAGACTATGACTACAACTTTCGCCTGAGAGGAGGCCCGTGCCCAGCAGTACAAATAAATAATAATAAATAACGCACACACTCAACATAGCCCCGCACTAGGGAAACCCTGTGTCGCGGGTGCCATGGACACACACATAGACAACCACAAATTACACCCAAACTCACGAGAGAAATAAATGTAAGCCATACAAACATTTCTCCCGGCCCGGGAATCGAACCTGGGACCTCTGCGTGGCAGTCCGGCATGGTAACCGTTCGGCCACGGAGGCAGTTTTGTCGTCAAAAATGGGTCGATATTGTATTTTTAATTTACGTACTTAGCATCAGGCCAGTGCTGCTTAAGTTTCTTAAGTTCATAAGAGCTGTCGAATGTAGTATGCTTCACTCCAGATTCTCTAGCAAAAGTCATCCACTCTTTGGTTTTTGTTGGAATCGCGAATATGATACTCCTGAAAAAAGGTGCGTCAAACAACCAAAGATTGCTATTATGATTACATTAATAGAGATGTGTTTGAAGCAAATTACACTTGAATTCGTCATATTCACTAAACTGTATTGCTCATTCGGAAGTCAGATTTCCCTGAGAAGTATGAGCAAGAAACTCTAGGGGTTGCTATTTGTAAATATACAATTGAACAGGTTTATCATTCACAATATTCACTTCAAACTTCATAGATCGAAACACGGTTGTTGTGTGAGAGCTTAACGGGTCATTACCACGAATTTTTGTCATCCAAGTACGCAGAAGCTGTATAATACAGAACCTTTAGTATAAGGTTTTTGTATCACTATAGTTTTAAACCTCGTGAAAGGCAGATGTTGAATATCAACCGGAATCTTATTATAGAAACTTACACATTGCCCCTTTAAATGAATTTGTGACTTTGTGAAGACGACAATCAAGAACTGCCAGTTAAAGGGAAATAAGGGCCATACTTTCCTGGTGACACACCAATTATAAATATTAACTCTCGTTTGCACTGAAATAGTACAGCGCCAACAACTGACCTGTGTATACGTCTCCATACATTCCAAAAAATATTCCATATTTATTGTCATAAAGATAATATCTCTAACAATGACGTGCTGTTACATTCGGTGGTGAGGGGAAAAACAGCAAAACATGTAATTTAACAAACGGAATCAATTATTATCGGTAAGTAAATATTAAATATGTAATTTTGCAATTTTCGTCCATTATAGCAAAGCTCAAGTTAAACTGGTCGATTTGAAGTGAAACAATTGAGGGTGGCCAATCGGAGCGCAGTTGTCACAGTAATGATATGGCAGAATAGTTTTGAAACAAATTAAATGACATTTCGTCTCTATTTCTGGTTATATACTCGATGTAATGTTGTGTCTATCACTAGTTTTCAAAAAAAAAATGATATACTTAAAATATTATCCTAAAATCCAGGCAAGATCTGTTTGTGTACGCACTTACTGAGGGTTGACATTGAGTTGTGTAATCTTATGTATCTCGCACGGCGAAGCACAGTCAAATCCGGTTCCAAGCGACACCACCAATTTCAATATTAAATCCCAGTCGTTGGCTTTCATAGCTGTAAATAACAATGTAAATTAATATCACTAATTACAGGCTTCCTAAAGTGGCTCCGCAAGGCCCGTGGCCCGTTTCGCTGCCCACATTGCGCAATTCTTTTCTAGAAAACGCAGCGTATAAAGAGGGCTGCCCGAGCGCGCCCGTGATCGCCCGTGGCGGCCTGTTCGTATCTGCCGCTGGTCGGTAACTTCAAAGGCGCGACGTGGAGTGTCAGCCCAAGGAGGCCGCCCGGACTCGAACGCTTCGCGAGCTCGCCCAAGGAAATCTGCGAGTTTGACATCACGGGAATGCACCATTACGCTTCATGGTCACGGGTTGACTGAGTCAACCTATTCCGAAATATCGAGAAAATAAAAAGATCTCATACCTTGGTAAGAAACGTAATCCTTAATCTATAATGCAAATGGAACTCAAAGCGTTTTTCATCAACGTTCATTATGCTCACTGGTAAACTGTTCTGTACTTTCCGAACGATTCAACCTGGATATGTGTGCAGTGTGCACAGGCATCTTCTAGACCAGTGGTCGAGAAGTCGCTACCGATGAAATATAAAAGACAAGCGCGAATGGGACAGCTGGACGAGGTCAACCTCAGCGAAAGTACCTCAATCAGACTGAGGACATTTTAAGCAAAAACCAGCTTAGGTTAATCCTAATTAAGTTAATATACCTACTGCGTTCCGGTTTGCTTTGTCAACTTATGTCTCAGGGTGACGGGTGCACTGGCAGACCCCCTAAGATCTTTGCGATTTAAAGCTCTGAGTGGCACTGCAACTATTATGGATAGGCGTGTCGCTTACCACCAGGCGCGCGACTTGTTCGTCCCGGCACTAGGTATTATAAAAAAAGCTTTTGTTCCATGACTTTTTACAAAACATTGTAGAATGTTGTACCGTCTGTTACGCTTTATACTCATTTAGTTCTTCTGTTGAGTATTTTAGTACCATTCTGGATCCCTCTCTGCTATTCGCACCTAACTTCGCGCATTACTTGTTTTAGTACCATTTCTACTATTTTTTGTTGTTATTATAGTTCTGCGAGATTGTTAGTATATTATAAATAATCCAGTATGAATCATATATCAGGAGAAGAATGTACCATAAAATATTTGTACTCTTGGCATCATTTTCTTTAAGTGTTGTATACGGCGGTAGATTTCGTCCATGTCCAATAAGTAAAAAGTCTCCGCCTGGCCCCCTTTCTCAATCATAGCTCTAGCTACATCTTGCGCTGAATATCCATCTAACACTAAAGCACCTTTAGGGCCCTCCACACCGTATTGCATTTTGTATTCAGTGCCGTTGCGAAGTTTGAATTGTCCATTTTTCGAATGTACTGAATCATTTTTGTGAGTAAAATCATTTTGAAATGTTGTTTGTGCTGTAGTTTCCATGTCCTGAAATGAATCCAATACAATAGAAATATTCTTTATTGCACTATAGAACAAATACATAAAATAACACAGTATAAGAGGTGGTGGTGGTGGTCATGGTGCTAGATAGCAATAAGGCTAGGGTTAATTTATGTATGTATAAGTGCGTCCCTAATGTGGAGCCATGAGTGTGTGTGTTATGAGTTTATGAGTGTGTGTGTGCGTGTGTGTGTTATTTTTGTGTGTTTATTTAATACACAATTGCTTTTGACAAATAAAAAACAAATTAAATATTTCAATAAATAAAAAAATAAAAGTAAAAGAAATGAACACATCTACTTACATAAATTATAATAAGAGCGGGAATACGAAATATTTAATATTAATAATGTAAATTTTTAATATTTATTCAATTATAATTATACAATTGACAGGACAAACGAAACTGTATGAAATCTCATCGGAATGGCTAGCAGAAATTGCAAATTATTCTTAGAAAACGTAATAACAAATTATTATAAGGGCATTGACATAAAAATAAAGATTCTGTAAAAACTAAATAAATTTTTCCTAGTATTAATTACACCATCCGATCGGTCTTTCTTTTAATTAGCCCGGATTCAAACAAATTGTTTTTTTATTGAAGCCGTACGGCAGCGTGAACTAAAGTTGCTAGGAATGAGTGTGTGTCGTTTATTTGCAATAATTTTTATTTTATATACTTTCTACTTAAAATTAATGGATTGCTTAGATTTAATGCTAAATTCATTTCCATACGTTTACGTTAGTTTATTGAATTTGGATAAGTAAACAACTTTTTTGTTGCAAGTGATCTCCACTGTCACAATATAGTTTTTATTCGTGAATGAAAATGGGTCTTGCAACAAAAAAGTTGTTTACTTATCCAAATTCAATTCAATCAATTGCTTAAATATGTATTTCCTAATTCTAAAATACGATATCATTTTAAATAAAAATTAATTTAATACTATATTGTCATGAAATAACTTCAGAATAAGTTTTGTTACCTACGAGATTATTGATTATTGTATTTTTTTTTTTCAATTAAATGAGTATTTAATTAATATATTGGACAAAATATTCAAGAAAAAAAAACTGACCTCAAAATTTTGTGGAATCACGTCTATTTGCCAAGTTTTATTGAAATCGATTAAAATATTAATCATTTTCTTCACATTTGAGTGGGATTTATATTGAAGTACCTCCTTTCCAATAAAAAAAGAATCTACGATTCACTTACAATGTTGGAATAACCCGTAACATACACACAAAAAAAATACATTGGAATTGAGAACCTCTTGAGGTCGGTTAAAATCAATGCCAATTTATTATTTGATAACGACTATCTACGACCTTGAATTTCCAAGGCAACATTACGTAACAGCCTGTACAAAATACTTTAAGGCTCAACTCACACTGGCGCAGACTCGAAGCATCGCGTCGCGTCCTGTTTTTCAACTACAATGCCTGGCGAAACGCGTCGACGCGCGACGTCCTTCGCATTAGTGCGCCCGGATCACAGTGTGGTCGGTGTCTGACGCCTCACTGCCCCCAAGTAATGCGCGACGATTCCATTTTTGCATAACACAAATTTGTACTTTAATGATGGGAAAATAGAGATGAATATGCTATAGGCGAAAAACATGACGCGTCGCGACGCTTCGACTCTGCGCCAGTGTGAGTTGAGCCTTATGAATGCACAAATCTGACAGCTGAATTGAAGGGATTTAGAAGAAGTAGTCATCTTATTATATTATAAAAAAAAGAGGAAGCTGCAGTACTTCGGGCACATCATGCGGATTGATGAATACTCTCAACTGCAACTCATTCTGCAGGAAAAAATCCAGGACCCTAGATGACGCGGTCGTAGAAAAAGCTGATTTAAAGCTCTGAGTGGCACTGCAACTGTTATGGACAGGCGTGTCGCTTGCTTAGTATTATAAAAAAAAGTCGTCTTATAGGGAAACAAATATTTTTGAACTGTTACAGGTCAGTACTTCAATAGTACCAAACACAAAATGTCACTACTTTGTGCTAGCGATGCGCAAATTTGAATTTTATTAATACTAATCATTCCAATGGGAAAATAATTCGCTTAAGTCGAATCGAAGCACAATCTTTCGACTCAAGTCGAGTGATTACCGATACCGAATGCCCCAGCCATTTGGTCGGGTGCACGACTTAAATGAATATTGATATTTTTGATTGGGAGTTAAAATCCCTTAAGCTCAATTTACATCGTCGCGTTGTCGTAACCATAACGTTATACCTAAACATTATGTCAATTGTTTAAGAGGGAGCATGCCAAAAAAGATTTGACGTTGGCTCCGCCCAAATTTGTGAAACAAATATATGCCTGAAGTTCGCGTGACATGCGACAGATGTTGAATTTTGCGCATTAAAAGTACCAAATTCGTTTTAGCGGAATAACTCTAAAACTAAAGGGATTAAAAAAAATCCGTAGTGACAGTTCTCGATCATGCATAAATATAATTAATTATCTAATTTTTGTACTAATAACCTGTAGCATTTCGAGGATGAATCGAAAAAATGTGAAAATTAGAGGTCATTTCGTGATTTTTATATATCGAGAAAACTTTATTGTTTTATATTTCTGATTAATGTCTATGCTTGAATATATCGTGTAGTTACTCATACAATATTTTATTTTTAACTTTAAAGTGGATATACCTCTCTAAAATCAAATCGAAGATTAGGAATTTTTCCTCTGCTCCCTCTTAACATACAAACTATATAGATACGAGTCAAAAGACATATCGCGCATCTTTCGGATAATTTTCGCACAGTCTCGGGCATACCTTTTTTTATGATACCAAGTGACAGGACGAACAAGTCATCCGCCTGGAGGTAAGCGACACGCCTATCCATAACAGTTGCAGTGTCGCTCAGAACTTTAAATCGCAAAGATCTGGGGGGCACTGCAACAGCACCCGTCACCTTGAGATATAAGTTGTCATAATACTGCTTGGCGGCACAAATGTTTTTATATAAAATCTCTTCAAATAAAAAAATCATCACAGTTTTATAAATAATTAATTACAGGTAATTTTTATGTTGGTTACAAATAACTGACTAGTAATTTGAAATTTTTATTGAATTTCTTTTACTAAATACGTCACAAACATGACTTCAAGATTAATATTATCAATGGCCTAATCGAATTTCGGGAAAAATATTGAAATTATAGTTTGAGGCGAAAACCCTGAAAATCGTATAAGTATTTTTGTATGTTGACATATATTCTACTTCGAATTTAGGTACAATATACATATTATATAGAAGTATATATTAGACAACATCATACGTTTCTCTTATCCCAAAGTAGTAACTAAAGCATTTGCGTTATGAAAATCGGAAACGACGGTACCACAAACACCCAGACCCGAGGCAATAACGATGGTGAAAATTTGAAATGTCGTAAGGGAAAATTTGTAATAGGAACATTTTCCATTACGACAAAATATTCCTTACGAGATTTTAAATTTCCACTCTTGATATAGGAAAGTTAGTTTTTTGACATTTAGAGATCGAACCCGGGACTACAGAGATGGCGACACTACGAAAAGCGTTGTGCAAGCCACTTGGCCGCGGAAGTCGTAAAGCTCTTAACACTGCATAACTACGTAATCATGCACTTAATTACATACTCACTCGTAACACAATTTATTTTCCTTAAAAACCTAACACTTACGTTTCGAAATATTTAAAGGGTATAGTCACTATGCTCAAAAGAAACCTCCGCTACTAATGTCGTAAAATGAAAACTGTTCAAGAAATAAACTATTATATTTATCATACAAAGTTGGGTAAATGCGCTTATGTCAATATGTAACAAGCAATCACTTTGCCAGGAAAACACGAAGTAAATACGAAGCCAAATGATATTTGCATAAGGAGAATACTTTATATAGCGTTTGTGATACAGAATGTAGGTGGATTACACAATAGCTTTACAATTATACGAGTATATCAGTGATGATGATAATGCATTAACATCTTTATTATATTTGCTACAAAGTATATGCAACGGAAACGCCATAATTTTAAGACGAATAAGTCAGGTGTCAACACACTACCCTGAGGTACTCCATAATTTCTAGCAATAATACACCCGCCGGCGCTATAAACGGCACACTAATGAAATCTCTAAAATAAAAAAAGAGAGCTGTTATTGCTACTAATGTTTAAGATCTTTTTAAACAAAATTAGTTTGACATTTTTCAATTTCTTTAATTATGTATTGTAATCTATATACATATCGGAAAAACTGACACCCAAAAATCAACGTTTGTATAATCTTGCACGAAACTTTACGCATATATTTATTTTCTTACAGAGTGTACTTATTAAAAATATTGTTACTGCATTCCTTTACTCCACTATTTTTTATTATTTGCAATAATTGTGCACCCACGTCGCTACTTATTTTTAAAATGGCTAATCAAAATTTTATACTAGAATTGGATAGTATCTGTGGCATCAGCACATTACTGTGACATTGAAACTTGTAATTCACTAAGAGTATTGTATCATCATTAAATATTTTTTCTCTAAACATTCGCAGTACATATAAAAACCTAGATTCTCTATTAGCACTAATATCTACATTCTCTTTCAGCACAGACATATTAATTTTGACTGAATGCTGGCTGGTGGAACATAAACCAATGGAAAATTATATCACACATTTGTCCCGGAAGTGTAAAAAACAAAACGATGGGATTGTCGTATATTTACAAGAACATCAACTGCACTGTGACTGAACCGGATGAGGTTGGTGGTACTTTTCTATAATATTATATATATTTATATATAATATATAATATTATATATAAATATGTACATACTTATAGATAATATATACATACTTATATATGTACATATTTATATATAATAAATATATAATTTACAGTTTCTTAAATGCTATAGAAAATATTATTTGGCCATTTAATTCAGCAAAAAATATCATATTGATTGGTGACGTCAACATAGATATCAAGCCTAGCAATATAGACAATAATAGTGCACCCTACTTAAATCTAACTGCTGAGCTTGGCATTTTACCAGGACATACCCTACTAGGAAGCTAAACTGTTTAGATCACATTATCTTAAAATCCATTTTTCCCGCCTCAATATTTGAATTGGATTCCTTATTGACTGATCATTGTTCTATTCTTCTAAATTTACGTCTAGCTCAAACGCTGACAGCTAAGTGTAACGTTATAAATAGAATTAACTTTGAGGCTGCTGTTAAGTACCTAGAAACAATTGACTTTTCCTTTATTGCTTCTATTTCTGATGCCAATGATGCTGCTTCTAAATTGTGAACAAGCTATATCATATTGGTTTAAGGGGTAGTGCTCTTGTGATCTTTAGGGATTTCTTATATGGACGAACGCAGCGCGTAAAATTGATGAACAGCTTAGTACTGATGCTTCAGTTCTTTCTGGAATTCCGCAAGGTAGCGTCCTCGGACCAAGACTATTCATAATCTATATAAATGACCTGTGTCAGCAGTCTCTAATAAATGGCAAAATATTTACATGTGCGGATGATACTGCTTTAGTTTTTCATGGAAAGACTTGGAACGAAGCTTGCCGGAATGCTAAGATGGTACTCCACAAAGTTAGCTGCTGGCTGAAGGTAAATCTTCTTACACTAAACCTATCAAAAACAACTTTTTTACAATTTGCTCTTGATAAACTTAAACGTACTAACCTCGACTTTAAAGTCCATACCTGTGGCGCACCGTATAATTCTGACTGTTCGGGTCTTTCTATTATTAAATCAACCAAGGTGAAATATCTAGGTGTTTTAGTGGACGATAGGTTAAGCTGGAGTACTCATATAGATTACATTACCTCTCGAGTCAGGATACTCATGTGGGTTTTCAAGAAATTAAGGCATGTTGGTGACCTAAACCTGCTGCGCACAATTTATTTTGCACTGACACAATCGGTGTTGAGTTATTGTATTGGGACTTGGGGTGGTGCTTGTAAAACTCACATGAAACGATTAGAAATAGCACAAAGATCTCTATTAAAAGTAATGACATTCAGTCCCTATCGATGTCCCACTAAAACTCTGTATGAAACGTGCAAAGTGCTCTCTAAAAGAAAACTTTATATTTTGCAAGTCGTTGTAAAACAGCACAAAAATATCCCTTACAAACATGAAAATTATAAAAAGAAATGCACTGTTAGGAATGTTTGTCCACCAATAAAATGTCGAACAACCACTGCTAGACAGCAATGTAAATACATGTCCACGTGTTTATATAATAAAATAAATTCAATTCTTAATATTTACCCATTATCCACACGTGAGACGAAATATAAACTAATACATTTCCTTCTGGCTCTTGATTATGATCAAATTGAATTGCTTCTTCGGTAAAAATAACTACTTATAATACGTAATAATATATATCGAGTTCTTAGGTTTTCGCGATTGTTATACATAGGAATGAAACTATTTTTCCGGATTTAAATCGCGTATATTTGTTTTTTCAGTCAACCGTGACCATGGGACCTGTAAAGGGCCCGAAACGTCGGTTTGTTTGAAAAAACAAATATACGCGATTTAAATCCGGAAAAATAGTTTCATTCCTACGTAATAATATAGCTCTTGTCAAACATCAGCGTATCAAATAGCACACATACGCTAGAGCGCACGCGCTCACGCACACATACATACACACACGCACATACAAACACGTATACACACAGAGACACACACACATATTTTAATAGACATTACATTAACAGCAGATATATAAACTGCCAGGAATAAATAAGTGTAACTAATTATGACAAAATATACTGATTTCCGTAACACAGGTCATTGAACCTAGCTGGAAAGTCAGGGCCTTACAATGAAATGTAACGTTTCAGTTTAAATAAAGAAGTATTAATATTAATTAATCTTTATTTCGGCGACTAGGGATTACGAAATAGATTTTAATTAGACTGTTTATTTGTACAAAAAAAACACGGAAAAAGTGATGTAAAAGTGCTTGTAGTTTAACAATCATTAATATTTTTCATTTCATTAACTAAATTTAAGCCAGCTAGTTCCAATATATTATTTTGTGGTACTCGGTAATCTGTGGTAATTTACTTCCTACGTACTTTCCTTGTTGTAATCATTGTTCTTGTATGTTACTTATTGCCTAATGTTTATTAGGATGTGTACATATCTGGCGAATGCGTCGCAATTGTGCTGCATATGCAATGTATGCGCGCTGCATGCACGTGACACACGTGCAGTTCGATGCACCGCACCGGTTTAATCGTATTCATACACGTGTGCAGTTTGCGAGTCTTTCGCAAACTGGCTCACTCGTGGCAAGTGGGCCATAAGTGTACACATCCTAAGGTTGCCACAAAGTAGTTTATCTCTATTACTCATAACAACTGGTTTTCTACTAAGCATCGAAAGAAATTATCTCGACAAAAGTTTTTTAGTTATCAACCTTAACAAAAAAAAAAATCTACAAAATTTTGCGAAACTCATAAGAACACAAAATTAACCTCGAAATACTCGATAAAGCTAACAAAACAAACGCTTCAAAAAAGTAACAATCGACTAATAATAAAACCGGCCAGACTTTTGAAAAAAAAAATGCAATATTGTGGGGATTTTACTAGTGTTCCTTTAAATGTATCGGTGTGTGTATTATAAGTAGACGTTATGGAGTTCCTCAAGGAAGTGTTTTCCTTATTGTCCTTCCTTCAGTGAATTCCTGATTTATTTGATAGAACATTTTTTGTAATATCAAGTGACTGGATGAAAAAGTTGTGCACCTGGTGTTAAGTACCACGCCTCTCTATAACAGTTGCAGTGCTACTCAGAGATTTAAATCTCAAAGATCTGAGGGGCACTGCCAATGCGCCCGGCATTCTGAGACATAAATTGCCAAGTCCAAAGAGCTTTAAATGCAACTATAAAGAAAATACTACAATTAAAAATATGGTGTTCTTGCTCCATTCTCCTTTGTTGCATGTCGTTAATACGTTTTATCATTTTGCGTTTTTATAAGTGTAACTCAAACCAAGTAGTAATGCAATGTTGGAACAACGATACACGCAATAAAAATAATCATGCTTTATCTACTTTTATTATCTCCATAGTTTATCAAAAGGTCGCAGTTTACACATTATGAATGGGGTAAGTAGGCTAATTAAATTTACAAAGCAACAATTATTTAAATAAATACTTAGTAAGTAAAGCCAAAAATATTGCTTAGATATGTTTTTCTGACTTTTGTTAACAAATTAATTGAACTTTCTTTATTATTGTCATATTAGTTTGATTATGTTGATTCTAATATCATTGTTCAAATTGGAAACTTTGTAGAACGTGAGGAATTTCTCTCTGAACAGCCACCGTGTTCCCATTTCCGCGTTCTATTTTAGAAATTGTTATTCGAGTCGCAATTTTGAACGAATTTACGAGAACGTTTCTTGAAACAGCTTTTTTTTGGTATTCAAACCAGCAAACAGCCTGATGGTCCACCTGATGGAAATTGGACACGACCGCTAGTATATATATTTGCTATATTAAATAAGTATTTATATAATAATAGTAATACTACAAATCGACCTAGGACAAACCAATAGGGGTAATCTGTCGTAAGGTACCATAATAGGTAAGTTTTTACTTTTTTTTAAATTTTTATTGAATTGATATTCAATTATTTTTTGTGAA